AACTGAGTGTTCGTGATTGGTCCGTTGTGATGTTGATCCCGGACCAACATTATTTTGATGATAACGCAGAGATATCATTCATATAATGCTGTAGCTACATGTTCGCTATTAGCCATTTACTGTTAGCTTGTCTCTTCCACAGTGTCTTGCCTTTAGCCAATCACGGCTGATGACTGCCCCTCCTGTGCCTAGGCTTCTTCCTGTTAGAAGGGAGTTTTTCCTTGCCACTGTCGCCAAGTCTGAGTTATTGTAGGGTCTTTACCTGACAGTATTACAGAGTCCCTTGAGGTAACTGTTGTTGAATTAAATTTGTGACTTTTTGTGTGCTTTTGCAGCATTTTTTTTTTCCGATTTGCTGGTGTTTTCCTAAGCTGCAGTGCGTCTAAACTCTCAGGGCCGCCGTACATTTACAGTCTGATGCTGTCAGAAATGCTGATAAAAAGTGTACAATACCTCAGTTTGAGAGAGGAGAGCGGTCCTTGAGTGCTGCTGCTGAACAAATCCCGTATATCACATTCCAGATAGGGAAAGCACGTCCTGTCCTGGAAGAGAACACAAACGTTAGAGCGGGGCATACTTATGTTAGAGCAACACACCGACTCTCGCTGTATTCTCTCCAAACGGGCGACGGGGGACGCAATTAAAAAGCAGGAACCTTTAACGTCTGCCAACATGAAGAGGCATCTGCACGTCTACTGTATGACACAGATTTACTTAAAAAAACAAAAAATTTAAAAAAAGGAGTCCAAGCGTTACTTTCTCCAAGCCACATCACGCAGACACTTTTTATTTTGCTCTCTTCTGGGTCGACCGTTATTAAGTGGCATCTTCATAAATTTTTCAGCTGCTTTCTGGTTTCCATACTGGCGCTACAGCCCGATTGCCGCTGTATGAAGTGCTATTCAGGTCACATCAGCTTTTAATGGCTGATTTATTAGGGCCCAACAGGAGCTTGGTGATGGGCTGCAGGACAAAGAGCCTGTTTTAAACTACATTAACACTCTGCAGTAAATATCCCTCACAACATTAGCATTTTGATGGCAACCTCCCCCAGTCACCTTTCACACTTTCCAGTTTTCCCCTCGTTATTCCTCCCTGCCTCTTTAGCCATCGTATGAATCCATCTTTGGAGTGCTTTCTTTCAGAGATTTCTCGTCTCCCATCGTTAGCGTTGGCCTGTTCACTATATATATTTCAACTGAACGCATTCAATTTATATCTGTGTGCGAGGGGTGAAGTGGTTAGGTTTAATTATAGACGTATTAATGAAGAGCATGCACACAGAGGGAAAATCAAATGGCATTCAGCGGTTCTGGGAAAGAGCAATTCTTTGGCATCCCTGATGAAACACACGACGAGCTGTTCTCTTTGTTATTGTGACGCAAAACAATCATTACATGATTTATAATTAAATCTCACATGCAATCATAAAACTGATGAGCACCAAAGCTTTTGTAATTGAGGTGTCTATGGCACTGGATGGTCTTGAATAATAAGCTAAAAACAAAAAAAAGAAAAAGGATTAATCGGTAGCACTGTGTTTACTATGCAAATTAGGTAGATTTTCCTTTTGACTTAATTAAAACAACCTTTTTTTCTTTCCTCTCACCTATTTGGGTTGTCCGCCTCATGTCCACGTCTCTTTTAAAAGCACTGGCTGTGATTTAAAATGACAGAGACACAGGGCAAACGAGAGTCTATAATTTGTGCATGTGTGCCAATGATAAAAAAAAAAAAGGTACTTAGTGAAATGATTCCTTTACTTCTGTCAGATTGTGCAAAGATGCTTGCAAATGAAAAGGAAAAAGAATGGCTCTCAATTATATTGCCAAATTTCTAAATATTATCGAGGCACAATGGCCAACCGGTCTTGGCTTTCGAACAAGTGCCGGGGACGTGCTTCATCAAATCTGCTGTTCATTATGTTTGATCAAATTTGAGACTTTGGCAGAGAAAGCAGATGCGATAGGTCAATTTAGCTGAACTGCTGAAACTAGTTTGGTCAACAGAGCATCTGCCAGTCATTTAGCAGGCCTGCAAGTGTTTGGAAAGGAGCACGGTCGCACCATATTGCAACAATCCTAACCACATACTGCTGCACAAAAAGGAGAAATCAATTGCACCGAGAACAGAAAGCAAAAATTATGTTCTGGGCGGTATGGTAGGTTTCATCGTGTGCTTTCACTTGATTTCACTTCTTTTTCTGATCAAACCTAATTAACAGTAATTACAGCAACTGGACAGAGCTTTAATTTTACACATTTACCTCTTATAAACTCCTTGCTGCTCTCCTTGGTCTTTCGCACTCAGCAGAAACACTATCAGAGCCAAATTTACTGCTCTCGTCCAATCATTAGAGTTAAAGTACTGGCAGTAGTTGGGAGGTGAGGCTTCCAACACATCATCAGTGAGTTCTGGACAGAGAAATATACATCCAAGGCTGAATGACTGACGCATTATCTGGAAAATCACCTAATTTTCCTGTTGGAGACAGACACTACCAATGTCTACTTTACCAGTGTTGCATAATCATATACATTTTTTAACTGCAAACAATCATGCCACCTCGTCCATATATTAGCTGCTCCTTTAAAGATGAGTTAGGTTGTTGTGTGGAAGGATTGCACTCAATTAGCAGCCTAGCAAAACATAAGAAAGTGTAAATGTAAGAGGATCTTACATTTACAGTAGTGCTGTGAGATACTACAGATTTGGTATCGATCCGATACAAAGTAAATACAGGGCCAAAATTACCGATACTAATACCGATACCAATACCAAGTAATTACAGGGCCAAAATTACCGATACTAATACAGATACCAATACCAAGTGATTACAGGGCCACAATTACCGATACTAATACCGATACCACGGGTTTTAACCTACAAAGGCAGCTCATGTAGAGGAGAGAAATGTGTCATTTATATGATAAATTATCCTCTATTTGCAACCTCTAAAAACACTTTAATGACCACTAAATCAGTGTGATTTGTACTTTCTACAATATCTCGTTAATGCAACAAAACGTAACGCCTTTTGGCTTTTCATGTATTTTGAAACTGGGTTATTTGGAGTCCTGGAATGTGTATTGGCTATAAATAAAACAGACTTGACAATCAACACAAAACGGTTCAGACAGTTTTCATAATGCGTGATTTCCAAAAAAAACAACATGTATTTAATAGAGTTCAGTGGGCTGCGTTCTAGAAACAAAGTATCGATCCGATCGCACTGGTATTGATCCAAAACCAATACCAGAGCTGGTGTCTGGTTTTGAGCCACCCTCTAATTTCATCCTCAATAAACATGAAGCAGTAATTTTGAGTAAAATGCATCTTTCTTACTTTTTTTTTCTTTTCTTTCTCTAAGGTAAAGCTGGAAATATGCTTATTTCTGTCAGAAATCATGTGCAGAAACAGTCGTTTCGGAGAGATACTCAATGCAGCAACCTGCTGGCTACCAGTCATCTGCTCTCATCTCTTATCTTTGTTGCCCAAAACCAGCCCTGAATCTGCCCCGTAGTGTGTAAATCCTTGCAGTGGGATGCATTTAAGGGAAGAATTTCTAATTCTAAAAAGTGTATTTTTGTTACTTATAGGTATAATTGTTACTTTTTGATAAAATAATCCATCCGTGATTTAAAAAGCATCCTGACTTTAACTGGAAGTAAGCAAGATGTGAACATAGGAAGTTTAATCAAAAAGCTTGGCATTCTTGCATGCACAGAAAAAACGCTTTAGTCGGACGTCTGTGCAAACTTGCATTTTAGAGTTTTGCATTAAAACATCCGAGTAAAGGATGGTATTTCTAATAACGGCAAGTAGAGAAAAGACTTGCATGTTAAGTAAAAGCCTGCTGAGATATCGTTGTGAGACAAAACTGAGACTGAGATTAATTTTACATCCTGTTATTAACTTTTCACCGGCTGCTAAGGATATGCCACCAGTTAGAGCAGGAGGCACCGGGAAAGCAAAGTAAAAGATTTTTGTTGAAGTGCCAAGAAAGCTAGCCAGGCTCACTGGATATCCACAAGTGCATGATTGCCAATTGGTGAAATGCATGAGCGCAAAAGGAGGCTCTGTACAGTATGTAGCAACTCCACTGCATTAAGACAGAGAAAACTGCTTCTTTTCTCTGTTACATTATCCACTGTAGCCTGTTTCTTTTTTTTTGTTCCTTTCAGTCCCCTTGGCAAAAGGAGTGCTTTCCAAATTACAAAGTGATGAAACACAGCATGACTATCCAGCTTTCGCTGCCATGAACTTAAACCTGAATTTGATTTCACACCCCAAAAGTGATTCATTGTGCTACAGTGTGCTGAATATCACTGCTGAGTGTGGTTGTAGAGCAGCAAGCCATATTTCTGACCACGCCTGACAGTAATATTGGGTGTAACCGTGCTTTTCTTCTGTGTAAGATTTACGGTTACACCGTGGTTTGTAATGTTAATTTTAACAAAACTAAAGAAGGAAGTGCAAGCAGTGCAAGCTATCCCGGCCTTATGACACTGGCAGCAGCATTTTTCCTCGCGTTCGTGAGTGTGCATTTGAGCCTGGTGGCAGCTGTCTAGCTTTTCCTTCAAAGGACGAGTAAACGAGCTGACCTCCCGGCCTTAATTATCCTACAAAGTCTCTGTTGATAACAGCAAAGTGAATTAATCAAAGAGCTGGCTATTGCTGATTTAGTTTAGTATTTATGTATACAGTATAAGTAAGTATGTAGAACACTTTAATCTGAACAAGCAATTACACACCTACACAAAAGCATACAAAACAACTGTTAGCTTATGTTGTTCCTGCCCAGATAAAGCATTCAGCCCGAGTGTGTTGTTTCCAACTACCAAGAGCTAAAAATAAGAGGAGAGAAAGCAACACAAGCGGCACAAGACAAAGTAGATTTAGCCACAGCCGTCTCACCGACTACATCAGTGTGCTTTAACAGGACAAATCCCAGAATTTTAGAGGCAGCAAGCGATGCTTGAACAGCTACTGTGTGAGCACTGCTAAAGAAAAGTGCCTACTCTACCTGCTTGTGGTGCAAGACAATGAGATTCACTATATAAAATGGTCCTATATTACAGAATGTAAATACGTCAAGACACTGAATGTAGTGGGGTTTATATTAAAAGGAAAACTACATTTGCAGTGGCGTTCCTTTCTATGGATTGCTTCTCTGCTGTCTTTGCTACAGCTCCTGGTTACCTAAGCCGTCGTACTGTCTTAACATAGACAACAAATCACTTTGAAGAAAAGTTGTCCATTACACAACTTTTTATTGTTTTTATTTCTTACCCGTTTATCATCATGCATCAAAACAACCCGTTATCATGACATGGCGTCCCAGTATGAGACGGCAAGCGGACGCAGGCGGCCGCTGTATGACTGATCCGAGTCGACAGCCTGTGGTGTGTCTTTATAAAAGCATTTATTGAAGCACAACGCCGCGGCCTGTCGAAAGCTCATCAAAGAGTGGCTTATTTTATCAGCCAAGTGGAAAATGTGCTGAGAGAGAGAGAGGGGCAATAGTGAGGAAGTCAGCGAG